ATACTATACTATACTATACTATACTATACTATACTATACTATACTATACTATACTATACTATACTATACTATACTATACTATACTATACAAACTATTTTAACACTGATATACCTAATGTTATCATACTCATGGACCATAGGCCCAGGAGGATATCATGTAAACCAAGGAGAAAATTTGGATTGTCAAATATAATTCCATAGCAAATTGACGTGGAGACAGGAGGTAACCAGGAAGCACGCATCCATCTGCATTGCCCCTCTGCCTGCCCCCCCTCCCTCGCCTGGCTGAGCATTTTAGCCAAGTGCGGGCCGCCGAGGAAGATTTGCTCTCGGGAGGTTGACTTGCACCATTCTCACAGAATGTGGCCCGCATTCAGCCAAAACGCGCAGGCTGGCAGCAGGCAGCAGAGGGAAGGAGTGGCAGGCAAAAGGGTGATAGGGGACCAAGAGGCATAGTGTTGTGCTCCCTGGCTGCCCCCTGTCCCTAGCAGGCAAGGCCAAGCAACTGCAGAAAATCCAGGCAGGGGGTGAGATGCAGACTGGTGGGGAACCGAGTGGTGACGGGTGTTCAACCCTGGCTCACCTTCCTCTCTGACACCAGCAAGTCAGGTAAGATAGAGGCTGGGGACGGTTGGGGGGGAACCTTGCTAGGCTGCGAGTACCACATGGGTGGCACTGGCAGCTAAGCAAGCTAAGCAAGTGGGGGGGGGAAGCCTTGCTAGGCAGTGAGTGCCGCATGGGTGGCGCTGGCAGCTAAGTAAGCCAGAGAGGGATGCGGGGCAGCTAGCTAGGTGATGAGCTCTGAGGGAGGTGGCGGCACAGCTGTGGCAGCCTAGGCCAGCCCGGGGGTCGGGACTCAACCAGGGCTTGCGGCAGTGGTGGTGGTAAGGGCGAGGGTGGCAGTGGTAGCATGGTGGTGGTAGCCTAGGCTGGCCCAGGAGCCAGGACTCAACTGGGGCTGGCTGCAGCAGCAGCATGTAGGTGACCCGGGCTTACCTAGAGAGATCATGGTGGAAGGCAGACAGCAATGGCTGGAGGGTGGGTGAAGGCAGGCTGAAGACAGTGATGGCACATGGCTGAGATAAGGAGGGGCAGGGCAGGGCGGGCAGGGTTAGAATGCAGTCAGCTTGTTGTGCACGCGCACCATGTCGCACATGTGTGATAAGGACTGGGCAGGGAGCAGAGAAGCGGACAGAGAGGGGCAGGGCCGGCCAGGGCTCGTTTTACCAGTTCTCTGAACTACCAGGAATCATAACAATTGGTTCTACCGAAACGGTCCGAACCAGTAAGAATCCCACCCCTGCTATTAGTATATGTACTTTCAAAACTCTTGCATTTCACCAGGAATGTGAAAAGTGTTGTTTTGGTGGCAATTATTCCCAAATATTGAAAATTGAAGGCACGATGAATCTATGGGAATAAAGGTGGCCTTGATTTATAAATATTAACATTATAACGTTTGCTAGCTTGATACAGATTTCTTGCATTGTATGTACATATGTAGAATAATCAGCGAACTGGTTTCCTCAGTTTTGTACGTTTGAAGATTGAACGTAACTGCTTACATTGTAACAAGGTACATACCTGGAGCCTGACCTCATCATAATAAGTAAGTAGTAAGGCATAATGATTTCTAAAATAACAACTTCTGTGCCAGAGTCCATGGACAAGCTACCTTAATTTATAAAGTGCAAAGCAACTTCGAAGATGTCTGCCTCAAAACTCCTGGATATCATCTTTAAAGCCTAAATGACAAAGCCTAAAATATATCAAGCATCATAACCTTCTGCCTGAGTGTATTTCTCAGAAGAGGATTCTTTACACCTTACCACTGTTGCAAATTTGGTGTGTAAATTCACAGGAAACAACCTTCTTTGAAACAGTACCAAGGTTACTTGGAATTGGAATCCAATTTCATGAAATCTGTTGGTCCTATCCCTAATAATACTTTAGCTCATTAAAATGATTTGTTTCAGTGAGTTAATGGTCTTGATTGAGTTTTATATGCAGTTCCTAAAACTATTGAAACATAACATTGCTGTTCTACTTATGTCAAGATAAGGTTCAAGTTACTCTGTACTTTTTGCTAGCTTTCCACAACTTGGCCACTTCCAGATATGTCTAATTCCTATCACTGACCACAATCATACTGTTAAATGGATGATCTAGGGACAGTAAGAATTGTAATCTACATGTATTACATTTCAAAGGCAGCAGCAAGATGCTGGACATAATGGAAAGTCATGATATAAATATTAATACTTATAATAACAGTGAATAGTTTCTCTTGTGCTATTAGCTGTGGACAATAAAAAAGGACACAGAATTGAAAAAGGTACTTGACTCAAAATTCAATTTTATTTAATTACCAGTTTGCAAAAGCAAGCAGCAACCATGGATTAGAAAATGATAAAATTATAAAAGAATAGGAACTTAATTTATTTTCCTATCTTTTTATCATGCTTAATATTAGGAACTATGCTTCACAGAAAATTGAGTTATTATGCCTTATGGCGATTCCATTCAGACACTTTATACTCAGATGGGGCACGACGAAACCACTCTGACCAAGATCCATCATAGATGGCCACATCTGGTTTACCACAGAGATATGCTCCCAAGGCAATATGGCAGGCTGTAATCCCCTTGCGGCATGTGGCAATCAAAGGCTTTGAAAGATCCACTTTCTTTTCCTGGAACATGCTCTGGATTTCTTCTTGGGGTTTCTCAAAACCTTCCTCAGTCAAGAAGTTGAAGAAAGGAATGTTTATGGTACCTGAAATGTGACCTGGTTCTATCCCTGGAATAAGAGAAAGAGTAATCACTCAATCAAGTCATAAACAGTACTTCCCGTAACTATTATGATCAACTTCAATTCAATTTTATTATAGCCCTAAGGCTATAATACAAACAAAATATTGAATAAAAGAAGTATTACATCTTTCTACATATATGTATGCATGCATAAGAGGAAAAACCATGAGTATAATAGAGTCTAAAACAAATGCAAATAAAATAGTATTATAAGAAGTTCTAATCCTAAGTAATGGTATGGCGTATAAATGGTAGCACAAAACTGGGATTGTGGTTAAATAATTTGAAATTATCAATGATTTCTAATACAAATTGTGGGAATAAACTTTGACCTGAGCTTGAGCAATGATTAATATAATGCTTTATACATACATGCCTGTTTAAAGGTCACTAAGGTAATGCAAAGAAAAGAGAACAATAAGGACAAATACAAACAAGGAGACAGCTTAAACAATTGCAAGCAAACCTTTACTATATCTAATTATTAAGCCATAATGTAATTATGCTGACTATGTAGAAAAATCTCAATAAAAAGAAGCACTAGAATTTATTCTGGGCTTCCATCCCGAGAACACCAGCCTGTGTTTCATTCTTTCCATGGAAGACCACCACAACAAATAAGTTGAATAAAATATAAGAGATAATGTTGGTTATATGGGTGATTGTTAAATGTAAAATAAAAAAGCTTTACAAACATCTGTTTCTAATAAGTCTCAACTCCAGAATTTACTGCATTTAAATATAGATCAAGATAATTGCAGATTTTTGGAAAAGATGGATGAGAATTGCTTTTAAATCTATATGTCTTAAAAAGCCACATTTAAAAAAAACAGTCAAATTTAAAGAATGCTTTAATCCTGCATTTAATAATGAAATGAAATGCAATATCCTAGTTACAATTACTTCATAATCACTTCCATAATTTAACCTTAATAGATGAGATGAAACAATACCCATTCACATCTGGGGCATCAGCAAAATAAAACAGACTGGAATTGGACAACCTTCAGTCAGAAGATCATAATGTAGTGCTCAAGACATGAAACAGTCAGGAAGAAAATGGCAGACACAGTACTTGAGTACAATGCAGTCAATGATCAAGCATCTGTTAGTTTCTCACCTATAAAGTCCTGGATGGAAAAGGCCAGGTTACTTGTGGGATCATGTCTCAATTCTCTATGGTTTCTGCCCCATCTCACCAAATTTGGCAGGGTGGACAATGCACTGGGTCCTTTCTATTAAATAATGTAATTTAGATGACACTAGGCATGCTTTCTTGATTCTGGAATCTAGCTTATAATACAATCTTCCCCAAGATTTGGACAGGCCTGACCTGTTAGCCTTTCAAAGACCTTGAAAAGCTGTCCTTTCTCTCAGGCATTGGGGCCAGGGTGTTAGATAAACCTGGAAAATAAGGGGAAAAATGTGCCTCTGCCTACCAGCATCCATCGGTATTCATCTGGCTAGCATCCAGTCAGTGTGTGAGAGAGTTGAGGACTCTTTGGAAACAGAAACAGTATTTGCTCTGTGAGCAAGGAGACAGCAAGGAGCCTGGGCGTGGCTTAGCTCAACTGTTCTGTACTAAAGCTGCTTGGTGCTCTGAAACTGAAACTGAAATTCCTTTCCTCTGCTTGTTTTGCATTTGGAACAGATTTCTTTTCAGGTGGGGAGGGGGAGTAGAACTCCTTAGCATTGGAGTGTGTTAATAATAATATACAAAATACTAATGCTTTGATGGTCATTTTGAAAAATCCTTTCTTAGTGAGCACCTAGAAGCCAAGAGCAACATACAGGTCAAATATCAAGTTTGTAGGCTTTACGGTTCTGGAGATTTTGTGATGATGCTTGAGTGGTATTTCACTTATATATATACAGATTAGCTGCCCAAAGTCACTAGGATGAGACTGATAGCTTTTTAAACAGTAAAGAAATAAGCAATAAATAAGTATGTTGCAATCTTACACAAGGCTGTCAAACTCTGCCCCACAGGCCAGATGCATCATGGGCTGGCCATACCCATGTCAGGTTTAGTGAAGTGGGGGCAAAGTCCCGATACATCACGCTGCTGCCATGATACTGCTATGACGATGTGAGTTTGACACCCCTGATCTAGCACTTTATGGTAGCAATGAAGGGCTTAGGGGAAAAATATTCAGATGCTATGACGTGTCAATACCTATAAAGATCATAACTGTATAGGCAGTGGCTTTCTATGGAAATGAATGTTGGACTGTGAAGAAGCAGGACACTTTTGGTGTTGGGGAAGATTCTTGAGAACACCGTGGATAATCAGGAAAAAATAAATAGACTATATAACAAATTAATCCAGAATTCTTACCTAAAGCACAAATGATCAGGCTCCAATTGCCATATTTATTTATATTCAGTGTTTCTAGACCACCTATCTCCCTCAAGGAGTTTATGCAAGCATATTATACAAAGAGCCAACTCCTCTGAGAAGCCAAAATGGGAAAAATAGAAATAAAAACAAGAGGGCAACCAGCAACATAGCGGATGGATCTGATTATAATAGTAAGAGTATGTATGACATTGGAGGACATAAAGATTAGGTTGTGGACATGAGATCCCAGAGATATAGCTCTAAAGTGGTATTCAGTAGGTTCTGACCAGTTCTGGAGAACCGGTAGTGGAAATGTTGAGTAGTTCGGAGAACCGGCAAATACCACTTTTGACTGGCCCCGCTCTCATCTATTCTCTGCCTTCCTGAGTCCCAGCTGATTAGCTGGGTCTTCCTTTGTTGCTCTGCACAGGAGAACGAAGCTGGAAAGCAGGTTAGTGGGGTTTGGAGGGAATGAGATTTTGCAGTAACCTTCCCTTTGGAGTGGGGTAGGAATGGAGATTTTGCAGTATCTTTCCCCTGGAGTGGGGTGGGAACAGAGATTTCACAGTATCCTTCCCCTGCCACTCCCACCAAGCCACGCCCACAGAACCGGTAGTAAAGAAATTTGAATCCCACCACTGATCTCTAGGGTCACTAAGAGTCAACCCGAGGTTGTTGGCATGTAATCAGATTCGACCTTGCTGAACTTTATCTGAAACCATTATCTGATCATAAATTTGTTGTTGGGTTGGTTGGCATACAGAAAATGAATGGCTAAAGGAACTGCTATCTTGAATATTTTGTGACAGTAGTCCTTTAACCAAATATTATGACCTATGATATACACATGATAAGACTTTGCCCATTCATATTTTGACTTACAGCATGTTTGAAGTACTTCCCAATAAATGATGAGCTACAAGTTCATTGTCTACCTGATCAATTTGTTTACCCCTTGTGTAACAATACTGTTAGAATGTGGAAAGAAGACAAATTCTTTTATTGGAAAAGGAAGACAATTGCTGAAATCAGAAGTTTGTTTAATTGGGACTTATGGATAGACAATTAGAAGAATCTCATGGAAGATTGATTTTTTTTATATGGAAATTCCAGCGAGATTATTAGATACACAAAATTGGATACTTCTGAAATTCCCACAATGGAGAAGTGGCATGTTAAGATTATTAAATTGGCAGAAATGGCAAAATTGACCTATCTGATCAGGGGATAATACAACAAATACTTTGATTGTAACTGCTATAAGGAAGACTGGCAGTCATTTCTTTATATATCTTTCCTTTTTTCCTATTTGTATCTCTCTTTGTATTTGTTACTTCATTACTCTCATTATCTCACATTTTCTTTTTTCTTTTCTTCACTCTTTATATTTTTCATGCTTATCTTTTATTTCTGTGAGAAATTTCAATAAAAATTGAATTAAAAAAATTAAACGGAAAGACAATTTCAGTGGGATTTTTAAAAATTACTGAGCATATTTGAGAAATAATGTTACTTGCCACCAATCTTAAAAAGCCAGCTGGCTGCAACCAAGCCTAGGTAGTCACCTCTGCAGATGAAGCTTTGCTTCTGCCGTCACAACATGGCACTGTAGCAACCATGCTGTGTGAGTGCATCCTAGTGTGACCCTATAAAAAACAGAGGCATATGTGGCTCCTTTTAAGTATACAAACACTTCTCTCCCCAGAGTGAAAAGGGTTGAGCTAAATGGTGAACTTGCATAAATTTCTTGTGGAAACACATCTCAATTGATCTCCTGCCATTCTAGATGGACGTTTTCATCTCATTAGGTTCTGGGTTTGTCTTTCTGTGCCCCATAGGAACTGGTTCAAGATTCATTATTTTTCTTAGATATCATTTCAGGATTACAGAGCTAAAAATATTCAACTGAGAATATTTATTTACTTTAGCATCTCCCTTTAAAATATTTTATTAATGCTTATATACCATTGCTCTCTGAAGCAAATAACCACAATTTAAGGAATAACTATCTTAATTCATTGCCCTTTATTGGATGGGTTTCTGTTTGATTTTTACTGTGTGATTAGATCCCATCTCGTTTCTCTGTTTTGAGTTAAGATATTTGTTAAATGAGTTTTGCCCTGTTTCTTGACACAGATGTTAAGTGAATGATTGTAACTGTTAAGTTAGTAGTATAGTTGTTAAGTGAGTCGGGCTTCCCCATTGTTGCGTGGTAGAAGGTCGCAAAAGATAATCACATGATCCTGGGACACTGCAACCACCATAAATATGAGTCAGTTGCCAAGCATCTGAATTTGATCAGATGACCATGGGGATGCTGCAACAGTCATAATTGTGAAAAATGGTCATAAGTCATTTTTTTTCAGTGCTGTTGAAACTTCAGTCACTAAATGAACTGTTGTAATTTGAGGACTACCTATAGTGAGAAGTATTGGCAATACTCTTCGGCAAATTTCTGTATTTTAATGGTCTGAATGCTATGGGACTTCTTGGAAAAGTTTCTACAAACAGTAGGTTTCCTTCTTCATTCTGTATTGTGTTCTTTCTATTGGATCTTCCATGAATAAAACAAACTAGTTCACTCAGATAAATGCTGTGCAATCTTATTGCATTCTTAGCTATTTCACCAGAACTCTCAAGGACAATTCCTGCCTAACAACAATATCTTGTTGCACTCTTATCAGGCAGGTGAATACATAATCCTCTCAAGCTTTTTTAACAGAATGAGGTGAAATTCCTTTCTGCCAGTTTTATATCAATACACCCCTGAAGGTTCAGTGTCAGCCACTTGTGTGCGTCAGCCACTTGTCTTGCCCTAAAAACCAGTCCTGCCAGACTGAGGTTCCCTGGGAAAATCTCAAACTAGAAAGAACATTGTGAAGGTTGTCATATTAGATATCAGGTTTGCTTCAGCCCAACCATTCCATAATGAGTCTGACACTGTGACTTAGAGGCCAGTTACTTTTGAAAGAAACTTGCTGTGTGGTTCTAGTTGACATCATGGGAATTGACCTAATTGTGTAATGTTTGCAAAATGATCTTGTGTCTCTATCACAGTCTTCTGATATTTGGTGTATCCTTCCCAAACTCTCTTTGTCTGGACCCTCATAATGCCTGCGTTTAGGGATCTAGCCACCCATTTTCATTTTCCCTATCTAGTTTTTACTTAACGGTAAGTGCTTATGAGTCCCTTATGAGTTCTAAATACTGAAACAAGAAAAACAGAGCAATAATACTGAATAATAAGGCACGGAAGCTTTTAAGATATAGTACAATTTGCACTCCTCCCATTTCCTTACAGAAAAATACTTGTTGGAAAAACAGTCCAACAGATGAAAAATCAATCAATCTGTGAGATTTTTATGCTGATAAATCCTGGACTTGCTGAGTGTGGCAACCTGGGAAATCATTAGCTTGGAGTTGACCAATCAGGGTTTTGCTCTAGAAGGCTGTAATTCTTCTTTGACACATGCATGTGTACCTATCTTTCACCAATGTCCATGTCTGTGTCTTCTGCCCTTTGTCCAAGGGCTCAAAGGTTTTAGCTTAACATTCCCTTATTCATTATTGGAATGGGGAAGACCATATAATAAAGTGAAAAATATCCTAAATGTTTTGTGTAATTCTTGGGAAGTTTGGTTTTTAGACAAGCAGACTCTATTTACTCTAAAAATATTTTTTTTTTAAAAAAGAGCAACAGACAGTTTCTGGGCCAGTGTATCTGGGCAGTGGAACACCCACAAATGTTGATATCAGATCCTACTGGTATGGAATCCCAAACAAGCAAACATAAATGGATCTTCTGTGTGTGTGCATGTGTATATTTCTTACCACATGAGAAAAAAATAAAGGCCAGGAAAATAGTAAAAGTTCTCCCAATGGATCAATTCTTAGGTCCCCTATATAGGAGTTTATCCACATGTACCAGTTTTGGAAATCTATGGATTTCCTCCGAGGCACCGTAATTTCAAACTGTTATGAAAGTGTATTTAGAAAGTATTCCACTTTGTTTAGTGGAGGTTGCTCACAAATAAGTAAACTGAAAGTATGCAAGAGGGATATAAAGACTGAAATATCATTAGCAGATAAAGAATATGGAAAGTGGGCCAATTATCTCAGGTGCACTCCTACCTTCCTTTCCTGGCTCAGGTTCTGTTCCTTGGAATCGCCCTTCAGATCTGGCATCCACTACCTGAAACCGCTTGGATTCCATGTTCTCCACCATCTCTTCATAGGTCTTCAGGAGAGACCTGTTAAGACTGGCTTTAAAGGCAGATGGCTCTGGCCGGGTGATCTCTGCTGTTACTGGATGACCTTCCTTCAGCCAGTTTTTAAATCCCCCATTCAGCACTGAAACAGTTCGATGCCCAAAGACTCGGAACATCCACCATGCACGTGGCGCATAGAAGGTGCCCAGGTTGTCTCCATCATACACAATTACATGGGTATCATTCCCAATGCCCAAGTGGCCAACATAATCGGCAAAATGTTTCTCACTGGGCAGCATAAGCTCATAAGGCGATGACTTGTCTTTGCATTCTTCAATATCAAAAAAAGAGGCTCCAGGCACGTGCTGTTCTTGGAATTCTTTCTGGGCGTTTCTCGTTCCAGGTTCATACCAGGAAGCATCCAACACCCGCAACTCAGGGCCAATCTTTTTGGCTCGGACAGCTTCTGCTAGCCATTTGGTGGAGACCAAAGCTCTGTATAAAGCTTGCTGCACCATGTTAAGGAAAGCTTTCTTGATGGGTGAACTCAAAAGTGAAAAATGGTATGTGAAGAAAAGGGCAGTACCTTGTCCAGGCTCCGATGTCTTGTTCCCTACCAATCAACTAAGAAAGGGCGGAGAAAGAAACCCTAGCCAATTCATTTCTATTCAGGTCTGCACTTTGGACTGTCGTAGGCATACCCACATTCAGCTGAAAATTCCCTCCCTCCCTCTAGTTAGTTCTAGATGACAAACTGAAGTAATTGTTCAGAGAAAACTTCCAGGGCTTTTTGTAATAATTTCCCACCCATTGTTGCCCAAGAGTGAAAACATCAATCAGCTTTTCAGGACCTGCTGTAACAAGAAATGCATTACTGTTCACAGTCAGTGACAGTGCAAAAGTAAACTGGCTCGGTCAGAAATGGGGCAAAGGGCAAACTTGAAAGAGAAAACCAGCCCTGAGACACTCAATAAGGTTGAGAGTGTGGGGTCCCAAAGAGCAAAGTGTAGAAGAGGAAACACTGTAAGAGCAGCTGGTATACTGACCCCAAACTCCCAGCTACTCTTTCCTAATATATCCAGCTTTGTAAGTGCAGCAATCTGATTACATAGAAATGGTAGATATAGCATACCTGCGTCATATGCACATTTTTCAACAGTGTTTTGTTAAGAGGGGCCCAAATGTTAAGAGGAAGAGCTAGCAAGATACCTTTTACTTCAGAACTGGCAAAGTTTAGGACTCAACAGTAACAAGATACTGTTGAGTCCTAAACTTTGCCAGTTTTGAAACAAAAGCTATATTTCCCCTATCCTGAACATGCTAAGAGGAGGTAGCCAAAATAGTGGTCTTTATTTTGAAAGACAAATGAGAGACTTGCAGTTTTGTGAGGTCTTGGGAATACAGCAGCCTGCAATGATCTGGAGTTGGTATGGGTTGAATCACAATTCCTATTGTCCGGAATTGTAACAACACTCTTTTGGAGAAGAGATACACCTTGGACAGTGATGGGATTAAAAAATTTTTACTACTAGTTCTGTAGCCGTGGTTTGATGGGCATGGTGTGGCTTGGTGGGCATGGCAGGGGAAGGATACTGTAAAATCTCCATTCCTTCCCCACTCCTGGGGGAAGATTACTGCAAAATCCTATTCCCTTCCCACCTCACTAACCTGCTTTCCAGCTCCCTTCTCCTGTGTAGGGCAACAAAAGAAGACCCAGCCGATCAGCTGGGACTCGGGAGGCAGAGAATAGATGGGGGTAGGGCCAGTCAGAGGTGGTATTGCTACCAGTTCTCCAGAACTGGTCAGAACCTGCTGAATACCACCTCTGACCTTGGATAAAAGGTATTTGGTTGGAAGATACACCTTGGATAAAAGATGAGTTGGAAGTTGTGCGTGTTTTTGTGTGTTATTAAACGATTCACTCGGGGTCGTGAGAGAAGTCCATGGCAGAATGAAAATTCTACAGCAAAGGACAAGTATGAGAGGATCAAGATGATCTCGCCCGTCCAAGGTTGTCTGCAACATCTCTTCTCCAGATTCTTCTTCCTACCGAGAGAGCCAAGGACTAAAGAGTTTATCGCAGCCGGGGCAAGTGCACCGTTTGCCTTTTCAAACATCGTTGCTGGCGGAGAAGACCAGACAGTCTGTGGGTTTTCTTCCGTAACCAACCCACGTTCTCTAGCGGAAACCCAGGCAAAGCGTCAACTGGAAAGCGTTCGAGGAAAAGCGCCTCGCTTCTAAATGACCCGCGGGGAAGCAAAGCGCTTCTTCTTCTTCTGGATGCCGCAATCTGCTATTCCAGGAAGTGGCTGGTAAAGGGGGGGAAAGCAAATCAAATATTTATTTTCTCTGCAAAAAATGAGCGGCTCACGGGGCGAGTAGTCAGACAGATGTCGCGAGGATTAAAGAAGAAGATCGTGAGTGATTCCAGTTAGATGCGGGACCGATCTCCACGTGAGAGTTAATGGGTTTTCTGCTAATTTTCTCCCCCCCCTTTTTTTGTTCCAGTTGGTTCGCCCCGGCCAGCCTTGCCTTTCACTGGATATGAAAGTGGGACGTGGTCCTTTTCTCCGCCCCTGGAGGTAGAATAAGGAAGGGAGAATAAGCCGCTGGGCGAGGGGCGGCTTGCGCGGAACGCTTTGAAGATTCAGAGAGCCATCCGAGGTAAGAGAAGAGGAAGTAGAGAGGTGGGGACTTGTTGAAGATTTAAAGGCAAAACATGAGATGAACTGTCGTCCAAGTGCCCAGAGGTCATTTACCCCGCTAGTTTTCCTCTGGTGGCAGCATTTACCTATGCGTTGCTCTCCTCCTGAGCCAACCCTGGAAACCTTTGAGTGTTTGGTTGTAACTCTCAAATCCTTGCTGGCAGGGACGAGGTCTAATACTTTATTTATTTATTTATTTATTTGATTTGCCAATTGTTTACAAGATAGTAAGTATAAGTGTATACATAGTTGTGGATACATGAAATGGGTACATATAAGAAAAATAAAAGAATAAGAGAAACAATAGGACAGGGACCAGGGACGGTAGGCACGTTGGTGCGCTTATGCACGCCCCCTACAGACCTCTTAGGAAAGGGGTGAGGTCAATAGTAGACAGTCTAAGGTTAAAGTTTTTGGGGTTTGGGGAAGAGACTACAGAGTCGGGTAGAGTATTCCAGACATTGACCACTCTGTTGCTGAAGTCGTATTTCCTGCAATCAAGTTTGGTGCGGTTTACTTTGAGTTTGTATCTATTGTGTGCTCTTGTGTTGTTATGGTTGAAGCTGAAGTATTCATTGACGGGTAGGACATTGCAATGTATGATTTTATATACCATGCTTAAGTCAGACCGAAGACGGCGTAATTCAAGGTTTTCTAGTTCAAGAATTTCAAGTCTGGCTCTTCCCTATATAGGTTGACTAAGGAGGATGGGAGCTGCACTGTATCACCTGTTGGGATTCCCAGATTGGGCCAGCTCAGAAAAACTGTCTTTCTTGGAGAAGGAAATAAATGGTTTATTATACAGTAGTTGGTTGCTTGGTGCAGTGTTTCTACTGTCTTCAATTGGGGGATTAGTGTTTTTGTGGATGGGGAACTCTTGGGGGAAGAGAGAGATGGGATCTTTTTTCCCTTTGGGAAACTTTTCCTCCCTGTTCCTGTCAAAGAAACTGTCTAATTTGAGGCAGCAAAACCCATTTATATGAACAAATCTGCTCTGAACAAAATGGGAGTGCACAGCATCTTCCTGCTTAGCTTTAACAAAGAGACTCCCAGTTCTGTAAAGTTGCAGATGTGATAAAAAGAAAACTGTTTTTCAAACAGACTCTTGTTCAGGGAAATCTGTGTTTAACTGATTAATCAAGCAAAACAGGAAACCACTGTTTACTGTTTAATCAAGCAACAGCTATTAAAAACAAGCTTCTTTTAAACTACAAGAACTTACAAAGAAAATGAGAGTTAGAAGAGCCAAGCTATCCTTTTTTCTCCTCCTCATGGGATAAGAATTATTGTTATTTCCTTATTGCACCTATGAACTTCATATTTCCATATTAGAGTTCAAGGAGGATTGTGTTAAAAAGCAATTAAATGCAACACAATAATATAAACAGCATTTAATCATGATAAAATAAAAATTAAAGTTTGAGGTGCATTTAAAAAAAAAGAATAGATTAAAAAGAAGATAAATAACAAATGTGGTGTCGATACTGAGAAAGCAACCTACTCAGCTGCTGTTACAGAAGTTATGACTTAGATCATCATGGAGAATGTGCAGGATTTGACCTTACTTCAAAGTCTACCTTTATTTTGTAAACCCTGACTTCTTTCTTATTTGTAAACCTTGATTTTTTTTCTTATTTGCTAATGAATATAGACTTTATGGATGTTTTGGACGAGGTAAAGAAGAGAGCAGCATTACTGTGACAAAAGGATAGATTTTAAATAAAATAAATCCTACAGCAATCTAAATATCCTTTTCAGAGATGAGTTCAAAAAATGAGAAAGTCAAGCATCTGTAGGGGCCCTTTTCACTTTGTATGGATCATTTGTTTCATCCATAGTGAGGTGGTGGACTGCTGAAAATTTCTGGAGCTTTCCCCAAGAGAATGGTTATTCTATTAGAGTTCATTTTTATTATATGCAGAAATAACTAGGTTTTTTAGTGAAGAAATTTATGACAGTGATATTTTACCTTCACTAATTAAAACTGTGTTGTTATAACAATTCTAATTTTATCCCTGTGTTTATGCCCATTACTTTGTTTACATAATCCTGTTGATGCTTGGATTTATAAATGGTTTTATATTTTTATGGCATAATAGTACAGAAGCATTCATTGTCTCCAGGGGTGGGATTCAACTGGTGTTACTACCGGTTCGGTGATGCGCGTGCGTGTAAAAAAACCTTAAGTTGTTCCGCCCGGATAGCTGAAAAACACTGCGCGCAGGTGCACAGCATTTGAAAAGCCTCTTTTTTCCTGCTTTTTCAATCTCAGCTGTGCTGCACAAAGCAGCTGAGATTGAAAAAGCAGGAAATAAAGGACAGGTAAGAGCCCGGGTGGGCGGGCCAAACAGCAGCAAACACAGAACCGGTTCTGTGTCTGCTGCTCTTCAGAGCTACCGCTTCTATAGATACGGGCAGAACCAGTCGCATCCCACCTCTGATTGTCTCTCCCTGGGAAAAAAAGCAAAAATATTGCACTGCTATACTTTGTTAACATTGTTTAACCATAGTGTTCTTTGAACTGTAATAAATCATATCTATTATTTGATAGATCTGTAGCAATAGCAATAACACTCAGACTTATAGTGCTTCACAATGCTTTACAGCCCTCTCTAAGCGGTTTATAGAATCAGCATATTGCCCCCAACAATCTGGGTCCTCATTTTATCAACCTCGGAAGGATGGAAGGCTGAGTCAACCCCAAGCCAGTGAGGATCAAATTCTTGGCAGTCAGCAGAATTAGCCTGCAATACTGCATTCTAACCACTGCACCACCCCAGTATTCTACTTTTCTTCTAGGAGCTCAAGATAATGTACATTGTTCTCTGTCTTTTGAGTTTTCCCCTGCATCAATCACTCTATGAAGTCGGGCTGAGCAAGAATGACCATGCAAAGGCTAGACACACACACACACACACACACACCCAAACACACCCCTATGGTTTTCTATAATGGCTTCCCCAAATGCCTGCTTCAGATTACATCACTTGTGAGATACCCACAATGTGGGTGAGGCTTTTTTCAGCATAGATGGAGATTTGGCAGTAAATTCCCATCCTCCTGGCAAATGTTTTCCCTTCCACCAACAAAGCAATATCGTATTGATTATAACAAGAACATTACATCTTAACTTAGCCACAGAATTGGCAGAACTTGCTGTTTCGTTCAGATGTAACTACCTACTTATTATAATGCCTGGGTGTCCTCTTGTGAGGATGGTCCTAATTTTCTGTTTTGTCTTCTTTCACCTCAGTGCCAGTGGAAACCCCAGGTGACATCCAAACCCAAACAGCCTGTGAGTGCCATGTCTCAGCAGCTTCTCTACCGGGCATTGGTGACTGCTAAATGGGTGTCAGAAGTTATCAAGTCTCCTCAAACGGGATCATCTGTGAAGCTCTTGGATGCCTCTTGGTACCTTCCCAAAATGAAACGTAATCCCCAGAGAGAGTTTGAAGATCGCCATATTCCAGGAGCCGCTTTCTTTGACATTGATCATTGCAGTGACCGCACATCACCTTATGATCATATGCTTCCCAGTGCAACAGATTTTGCAGAGTACGTGGGCAAACTAGGAGTGAGCAGTGATTGTCATGTTGTGGTGTATGATGCAAGTGACCAGGGCTTGTTCTCAGCTCCCCGGGTCTGGTGGATGTTCCGAGCTTTTGGCCATGATGCAGTTTCCCTTCTAAATGGTGGGCTGAAGAACTGGATGAAAGAGGGGTATCCTGTCACTTCTGGAAAGAGTCATCCTGCTTCTGCTGAATTTCATGCTTCTCTGGATAAATCAATGGTGAAGACCTATGAGCAGGTGAAGGAGAACATTGACTCACACCAGTTCCAGGTAGTAGATGCACGATCTGCTGGAAGGTATGCTGGGACGGAACCAGAGCCCCGACAAGGTAATGGTTTTCTTTAAGTTTGGAGGGTAGATGTGGTGGAATGTAGTCTCGATTCCCAGGAGGAAGGGGTTAGAGTTCCAGAGGAGCAAGAGGCAGTGAAGTTTGGATAGTTTGGATAGTTTGAAGAGGTAGAGGCTCAAGACAATTCATCCCGTGAAGTTCTCAAGAGTATATCTTTATTAGTGCAAACAGTTTCCTTTAGTTTAGCAAGATTTCTGTCTGTAGTTAAGGAACAATAAAAGAGATTGCATTGAGTAACTCAGTGTGTCTCTTTTCATTTTGGAGCCTGACAGAATTGTCAGGCTAGTTTAGCTCTGAGATAAAAAACCTCTGATTTTAAAGCTTTATGTTAAAAAAAGAAAGTTGTAAATTGTCAGCACTTCAAGATAGAAGAGATTAGAAAAACAATGACATGTAGGTCAACACTACTTTTACTGTAAAGCTATGATAACAGAATCTTGTAGGTCTGATTATGGTTCCCCCCTTCCTCCCCTTATCTACGTGTGAACTAGGGAGGGGCTTTGTCTGAGGAAGTTTTTGCTGGATTCAGGCTCCCTTTCATCTGACTGTGAACTTGATAGTGGCTCTTCCTGCTGTCTTCCAAGGACATTTCCTCTGACTTCTCCACAAGTCAAGAAACAAGAAGAAACTATATACCAATAGTTTCCTCCTAATAAAGGAGAGGACTGGGCATTATTTATTTATACGGTATATCAAATGACTGCACTTTATACATTACTACTTTGTATAATAAAATGTTTATAGAATTCTGTTAACAGGCTGAGGTTGGGCTGTCATTATTCCTAATATCATACTAACTGCATTTAGTTTTCATCTTTGCTGCATCTTTCACTCCTTCTAGGAGAAAGATGAAGTACAAGGTGACAGGACTTCCCATAATGGTAAAATGTCTTCCCACATTGGAAAAGTACAGCATGGCTCCTAATTTTTTTTACAACTATATTAGCTGTCCTTCCCCAATTGGGGAAAATGTGGATCAAATAAAGTCCCCCCCCCCCCCCTGCACACTAGAGAACTAGAAACAGTCATTCCTCATGTTCTCCAGCAGATGGGTGATATCAGTTAACCTCACCTTATATTCTGGCTTATTGGGGTAAATGGAAAGGGGAGAGATTCATCCTTTGCCATTAATATAAACCAGTATTTTTCAAATTGACAAGTTTCAGATACATGGACTTTAGCTCCCAGAATTTCCCAGCCATCGTGCCTACTTAGAAACTTAGTGCTAATGTATAGGATTTCAAGGTTTACTACACACAGTATTTGTGTGTGCGCACATTATTTCTAAATTGTGCTTCTCCTTTTGCAATTTTGTTGAATGAACTTTAATAGTGTTTTATTTTTTTTCAAACTTTCTCCAGGAATCGAACCTGGTCACATCCCTGGCTCTGTGAACTTTCCTTTCACAGAATTCCTCACTGAGGCAGGCTTGGAGAAAAGCCCAGAAATTATCCAAAGCTTATTTCAAGAGAAGAAAGTAGACCTCTCCAAACCTCTTGTGGCTACTTGTGGATCAGGAGTCACCGCTTGCCACGTGGCATTAGGAGCATATCTGTGTGGGAAGCCAGATGTGGCCATTTATGATGGGGCTTGGGTAGAGTGGTTCATGCGCGCACAGCCTGAAGACATTATCTCAGAGGGGATGGGGAAGAGCCTCTGAAGCACAGCCTTCTGCTGAGACAAAAAACATTCAAGAAGGGGATGGCCTTCAGGATGTTCCACCTGTTGAGTGAAATGTTTTAATGATGAATTGGGGGATTTGCCATTCTTTAGCTTGTCTCCATTGCTATGTATAGACACTGCCCATTTTTCAAAGCAGAGAAAGCACTAATTATGGGAAGATTAATTTTGCATTGTAACTATGGCAAATTGTGTCATACTTCTGGCTATTTAGTATTAATTGTTCCTCCACTGAATCCTGTAATTTGGTTTCTATTCATTTTCATGAAAATGCCATAGTACAAATATTTTTTAAATCAAAAGCATTTTAGTGTCCTTAAAGATTCATTGCTTTATTTTGTGTTCTCATCCTGAAGTGGATCATATTCAGAAAACTTCTACCCATGACAGTTTGTGTGGTGAACTGCAGTTTGAATTCAGCTAGTTCTAGACTATACCAAATAGAAAATGTTTGTTCAGCTACCTAGTTCCTTTAGCCATTCTTCATAGGATTTAGTCGCCAGACTCCTTGTCATCTTTAATATTATCTGTTGTTGGTCATTTTTCTCTCTCATCTCATCCTATAAAAGCTTTACGCCATCAGAAACCAATATCTGAAGGAATACAATGACATATCCTGACATACCCCACCACAAATCAAATGATTAACTTTCTCTTTCTTCCAAATCTCCACTCTCTAACAAAAGCATCATGTCACTCTCTGAAATCCAACCTCACTGAAGCTAAAATATAATTTTACTGGCTCCAGAAAATTCGACCCCAAAACATCAATTCTGTTCCACTTTCAGTTCCATTAAGTTTTAGTACAGGCATTCCTGCCAAATTCTAAACCATGCTACACAATAACCCGACCACAGAAGTACTGATCTCTCAATACTAACTACTAACTCCAGCTTTTATTCACATAGGTCACCTGGTAGTAAACCAAATGTAAGTAAGTTAGAAAGATAAGTTGTGTGATGTGGCATTTGCTATGAGGGGAAAATGCAAGTTATGACATATACTTTACTGGGCTCTGAGAATTATCTTAGTGCATTGGAGAAAGATTTCAGTCTAGACCAGGGGTGTCAAACTCTCATTGTCACGGCATCATCATGTGATATATCATGACTTTCCCCCCCCCCCTTCGCTAAATCAGGTGTGAGTGTGGCCAGCACGTGATGCCTCCGGCTGTGAGTTTGACAGCCCTGGTCTAGACAATCTAAAAGAGAAATATGAGTCCAAAGCTAGCACTGGAGAAAGCATATCAGAATTGATCACCCCGCTCCAAGTCTCTGGAATTAAAGGCAGAGGAGGGGGACTTTCAGACTTGCAAGATTCTATTACTTTAACTTTACAATAGGAGTAACTGGTTTTGGTTGTCTGGTCTGCATTTGAAAAGCTGACATATTCTTAGTTAAGCTCCATGCTTTTCAAAGGATAAATGAATGCAGTGGTTTACAGTACAAATCTAGAGAATTGTGGTTTTGAGGGAAAGAAATTACATGTGTAGGGCATCCCTGAACTGCAGAGTTTACTAATTTCCAGTTTACTGAACGGGGCTTAGGAAATTAAGAAATTAAGAAATGACCCAATACAGATATCTCTGGAAAGAAAAGAGATTCTGAATCTTACAGCCTTCTTCGCAAAACAGAATGGAGATGTAATGATGCTCTAAATAAGATTTAGCTCTGGATAAGTTTGTCCAGGAGACAGACTTTATCAATTCACCAATTCCCTAAGTGGCACTCAAGGAGCCTCATGGTTAATTTAAAATTTTGGAATATCATCCAGTTCCCAGATCTAGTAAAAATGCATTCACCTTGTAGGAGGCTTCAGTAAAAATGTCAAATCTTAGAAGTTCTCAGCCATTAAAATGTATTTGAACAGCATTTTTCAACCTTGGCAACTTTAAAATGGAAAATCCTTCCATTCCTCACTATCCTGTCAGAGCCGAAGAAGCTTCTTGGATGAGAAGCAAAACACCTTCAAAGAAAAAAACAAGGAAGTCCAGTTGCCTCTTGAAAAAACACTTTTGGGAAAACCATGACCTGGATGACTGAGAATCTCTACAGACTTTAAGCTGAGTGGACTTTTATTCAAACATGCTGACTGGGAAAATCCGGGAGGTTGAAATCCACTCATCTTAAAAGTTGCCAAGGCACGTTAAACACCGCTTTAAAATTGTTTTTGCAGTTTCTGCTTAAAAAGCTCGTTGAGCTGTCATCCAAAGGACGTTCGGCAAAGAACGCTCTCGCTCAAGTACCACAACATTGGGCAAAATAACCCGCCTCCGTGAATTTTGGGTGCCTGCTTAAGTCTGAAATGCGCGTTAGCCTCGAAACAAACTACAAGCCCCAGAATCCTCCGGGGCTCCACACCTGCAAGCCGCGTCCCGCCTCTTTGTGAAAGTAGGAGGGGATGCGCCCAAAGAAAAGAGATGAGAATGGAACGAGGGGAGGACGCGCCGGCGGCGCAGAAGGCGACTTCGTACGCGTGGGATTGCTCGCAGCAGCCGCTTCCCCCCAGCAGCCGAGGCAAATGGGTTCGGCTGAATGTCGGGGGCACCGTTTTCTTAACCACCAAGCAGACCTTGTGCCGCGAGCAGAAATCCTTCCTCTGCCGCCTGTGCCAGGGAGAGGAGCTGCAGTCGGATCGGGTAAGCGCCCGCGCTCCGCCGACCCTCCAAGGGAAGCGCGGTGGTTTTGCTAACACGCGAGCGTTTCCCCTTCGCTTAAATCGCAGGGCGTGGAAAGCGCCGAAGCTCCTGCAGTGGCCAGCAATGAAAAGGGGGGGGGGCTTTGTTTCGGAAGATCTTGAACCCCACTTGGGAGTAATCTTGCTAAGGGATCGAGCCTTCCCCCCCCTCGCTTCACCCACTTTTCTGGTCTGGCCCCATAAGCAGAAGTCATGTTTTTGTTGTTGTTTTGCAAAGTCACACTCGCATGTTCAACACAAAGTTGGTCAGGAGGCTCGAGTCTCTTTCTCCCCACCCCACCCCGCCCCCGGCCATTCCTCAGGGGTTTGGGAGCTTTACGTAGGAACGAGGGTTTCTTTCCCGGTACGCTTGGGCTACATGCACAGTGTTTAAAAAGCGAGGCAAGTCCTTATAGAAGCATCCCGTTTTCTGGCCGGGCGTCTCTGCCTGCCTGAGCAGCGACAGTGTAAGCGATGCGAGTTGTTTTTGAAATGCCTGCAAGCCACTCGCTCTGCTAGTGGAAAAATGCGGACGTGGAGAAACCCCAAGCTTCTGCTCTTTGCACGCGAGGGTGCTGATTAAGTGGAGATAAATGTGGTTGGTCGCCTCTTATCTCCGAAAGCGCGCCGATTCCCGTTAAAAGCACCGAGAAAGAATTGCGAAAACTCCACTTGTCTACCCCAAGGGGGCTGGTTCGCTTCCAAGAAATCTTGCCCAGGACTCAAAATTAGCCGCGAATGTAGGAGTCGTTTCCTTCCTCTTCCTCACCGTAACACCCTTTGTGGGTCCTTTGCCAGTGATTCCAAGAGTTTATCTTGACGCTGATGCAGCTTTTGCTAAGGCTTAATGTAGTCTTGGGCAGCCGTTCAAAAACTTCATCCGCAGGATGTTTTTTTGGGTTGTTGTTGTTTTTAAATGGAGTTAAAGCATGCGGCGCTCAGTCAGGGCAAGGGCGGTTGGCTTCATTGTTTCTTCTCCAAGGATAGGCATAAACAATACGGCCTGGAAAGAGTTGTTATGATAGGATCAAAAAGTTGCTGACTTTGGACATGTTAGGCTAAAACATGTCGTTTATATAGTTGGATGGCTGGATTTACACACAACTAGGCTAGGTGAAAGAAGTGCTTTAGCACAATGAAGAAATCCAGCCATTGTGATAAATACATCTTGTGAGCCAGATTATCAACTAAAGCCATAATATAAGGATAATTCATTTAGGTGCAGCGTGTTATGAGATACATTTTAGTCACCCTGATTTACACTTCCATTCCAAACTGAATAGAATTTATATAAAATGTAGCTTGTTGGGTGAACCCAGCCAATTTGATTAATTCAGAGCACATCTTAATCTGTTTTATGAATATTGTATAGTCTTCATGACGGCATTGTTTCAAATTGGCCAATATTATTTGGAGGAAGTATACAGTTGTGCCTGCGTAAGCAAGCACAAACACACAAAGAACGGGGGCCTTGCCAAATCCCTCTTCTATTTTTCTTGGCAGCTTTGCTTTTCTCCCCCCTCTGATCCTGCAGATACATGCAATTGGTTTTGACTTTGTTTTCGCAAACTTAGCCATTGTGTTACGTAAATAATAGTTTATGCCATAGCACAAGTCTTGAATGAACTCAGTATATTGATGTAGTGCATTCATCATTTATCTAAGAAATGTTTAAATACTTAACAGCTTAAATATCTTTATAATTATTTTCTCCTGCTATTCAGCTACATTTAATGACTTAGATCCCCATAAACATGACAGAGACAAAAACATCTTTTGCTGAGTGTGCATAGTTTTATTCAGACTTTCTTTTTTGCCCTTTATTCCCCCAGTCAAAAACAAACAAACCAACTTCTGCAAGATGTTTTCTCTTTGGAGAGTTGTTCCTGATTGATTTTTTTAAAAAAGCAGTTTTGAGATACAACACTTTTTGAGATATAATAGTCATAGGTGAACAGTATATCTGTGTAACACGTTTAATGTTTGGCAATACAATTTGGGCCAGTCCCTCTCTCTTGCCTTCAGAAGATGTGGGAGCTTCATCACTGGAAGCTTTCAAGAAGAGACTGGACTGCCATTTGTCAGAAATGGTGTAGGGACTCTTGCTTGGGTAGGGGGTTGGGCTAGATGACCTACAAGATCCCTTCCAACTCTGTTAATCTGTTAAAGGTGGTGGTTGTGGAAAAAATAGGAGCAGGAAGGAGAATTGTAGGTGTTCATCACCTTGAGCTATTTATAAAAAATGATAAAGGCAAGGTATAAATAATAAATACCTTCACACTTTGTAGTTTTATCAAGATCAGTTTCTGATCAGTCATTGCCATTTTATTCTCATCAATATGGTATGTAGGAATCTGTCTTATTTCTCTCTCTCTCCCTCTCTCTCTCTCTCTCTCTGTGTGTGTATAAAACATTTCAAAAAGTTTTGCCCTTTGTTGTATTATTTTGAATATAAACTTAGGTTATTCAACCTTTTGGAGAAGAATCCTTGAGCTCGTGTTCTTTTACCACTCTTGAGTAATGAAGGCTCAGCTAAATTGGTTACCGGACTGCTGATTCTCATTGGTTTAAGTTCAAGGCTTACATAAGAAGCACATATCCCAACTGGTGTATACT